AATGAAGTTATATTAAGTTGGCACACCAATGCAAAGAGTAGCCATTGACATTGTTAGTCCTTTGTTCCAAACTCGTGCTGGAAACAAGTACATTTGTGTGGTGATGGATTATTTCTCCAATTGGCCTGAGGCATATGCTAAACCAGATCAAGAAGCTACAACTGTAGCTTCGGCTATTAGTGATTTCTTCTTCAGATTTGGTATGCCATATGAACTGCATTTGGATCAATGCCGTAACTTTGAATCAGGTGTGTTCTATGAATGCTGCAAGTTGTTTGGTATACGAAAGACTAGGACAACGCCACTTCACCCACAGCCTGATGGGATGGTAGAAAGGTACAAGTGGACACAGGGACAGGAATTGGTAAATTTGATGTTTGGGTGGGAACTTCGGTTGCCAGTGAATCTAATAACAGGACGCCCACCTTACGAAGAGTTGCCTAAAAATGTGTCACAGTTCGTGAAAGTGATACCTGAAAGGATGGATGATATTCATCATCAAGTGCATTCAAACTTGAAAACGTCTGCTGATTACATGAATCTATGTCATGATAAGATATCTACTGAAGTCAGCTTTGTACCAGGAGACAAGGTGGGGTTGTATAATCCCAGGAAGACCAAAGGGAAGTCTCCTAAGTTGTCCTCTCCATGGGAAGGCCCATATGACATAGTGGATCGTCTCTCAGACGTGACTTTCCAAATAAAATATGGTCAGCGAGGTAAGCCAAATGTGGTGCATGCAAACAGGCTTTGACTTTTTCATGGTCCAGGACATTTCAGTTGGAACGAAGTGAACGATGGAACAAAAGATGCCGCTGAAGATTTGTCACCTGGAAAAGCCATTGTCGAAGAAGAAACTCTACCCGGTTTTGAGAAGGGAAACGGTGAAGCCCTTGATGAAGTTACTACCACTGATGGGACTATTACCGATAATAGATCAATTCCTGATGGAGCAGATGAACCCCATGTGAAGCAGAAGCCAACGAGATGGAGACCAGTACGGAAGAAGATACATCCCGTGGCAATAACTTAATTAAATGTACAGAATTTACAAACACAAAATTAAAATTCAACAAAGTCTCTTAATTTTTTAATTATCTATTGGTTTAATGTAAGTGGCTATTGTAGAATGAGCAATACTAAGGAAGGGGCAGTGTTACAACAGCAGAAGTCACGCGACGTTGGGAGCATGCACACTGGAGTTTCTAGAAGGATCGTGACATATCGGGTAACCTCACGAATATCCCAGTATTTGCTAGACACCCTCTTTTTTTAGTATATAAATGCAGATAGATTGAAGATAGAGATACTTGAGTCAAGTGAACAGTAGGCACCGTAAGTAAAGTGTGTGAATTGCTGTGAATTATAGCATGTGTTTATAAAAGTAGTTAAGTTAAAGTGACTGTGGAAATTCTGTGTATTGCAAAGTTGTATTGAGAAAGAATAAACTTGTTTCAATTAAGAAAGGACTTGTATCGCTGAAGTTTCTCGGAAAGAATTTCTACGGAAAATTAACAAACAAACAGATACGTAACAATGGCATACAAAGCAAGTGAGAAGAAATATATAAGCTGTTCAACAAACATGCTTATACACAAGAGTTGGGATGTTAACAATTAGGAGAGATTGCTAAACATAAAAAGAAGTAATATGAGTAGATGGTAAAGGTATAGATGTGTCAGCAGAAAAACTGACTTTAGTATGTACCAATGGCACAAAAGCAACTTGGATCCGTTGGCCAAGAGTGACCTCATACTCCAGCCGAATGTATATAAAACACGTTAATAATTTGCACCTGTACACCACAGAAATACCTCTAGTATATTGGCTCAACTTAGAGTCAGAGGTTGAGGCTGACGAGTCAGTGGAAGATGATAATATCATCTCACTGTGTGTTGATTCACCTGGTTAAGAAAAAGAAAGAGCTGAAATTACTTAACTGGTTATCTACGACTACCCAGATGAGGAAATGTTGTAGTTAGAGTCAAAAGATAGCCTACAGTTGGCCAAGTCACTTATGATAGCCTCCTCACCATTTCAGGTGGAACTGATCAGCTTAAGATGTTAAAACGATGTGTTTATCACGAGATTAATGGGATTGAAAGGGCTTCGAAGCCGTTATTTTACTATATGGGAAGCCAACACATATTAAGTGATAACTGCTTGATTTATTTCTTACACTAGGATGGCTATGTGATTTAAAAATAAATTAATAAAAGTATATTACGACCTTTGCTTTGTGAACTAATGACTGAATTTTCTGAAGCAACATGTTGTCCAATGTTTTAAGAGAATCACTCATCTGATCTAAGCGAGAGGCAAGAAATCTACAGAGCATGCTGCCTGGTTCTCATTACATTCTTCATGTACACCTGGACCTTACATTTTATAGACTTAACCAAACGTTTCTCTAATAACTAAGTACTTTAAATTCTTAACTTTTTCAAAAATGCAGAAAAATACACTTAAAATTTCTAAAAATAAACTACGTTTTAAAAGTATATACTTTTTCCCTTAATTTTAAAGTTTCTGATCTCGACTTCCCCCAGTGGGAAAGTGGTAAGTCTACAGATTTACAATTCTGAAATCAGAGGTTTGATTTCCCTTAACAGATAGCCTGATGTGGTTTTGCTACAGAAAACGTATCTCAACTTTCGTTATTCAAAGCAATATAATAAAACTGAAATTGGTTACTTGATTTTGAAATTAAGCAAAAAACTCAGTTGATTTATTTCCTTACAAGACAAACTATTCATGCATTTAAAATATTGTAAAATAAAGTGGGGGAATTTGGATGTTATACATTTAAAGCAAATCATTGAAACACAGAATAAGATTTTGATACATGTTAGAGAAAAACAGTTAGTTACGTTAAATAGTTTAAAGTTACAGTTAAGTCTTAATTCTTTTGCTGAAGAAACTGATAATGTAATATTTAATTTTCTAAGTGTGTTTTGAATGATAATTAGAAAAAAGTGATAGATTGTGGTTTAAATCTTAGTATTTCTTACAAGCTTAAATTTGAATATTACTTTACGCAATTAGAATTGTTTTTTTTGTTGTGTGTGTGTGTGTGTGTTTTTGTTGTTTTTTGGTTTTTTTTGGAAATGAGTATATCAAACAATTCAGAATAATTGTCTTAAAATGTTAAATTAAATGTAGATAAACACAACCCTTAAGCATAAACATAAGACACACTGCACCAAAACATAAATCTAAACCAAACATAAGCATACATGCACTGTAAAAAAAATTAATTAATCTGAAAATTAACTATGCAAAACGAGGTATAAGCACAATAATCTAATCAAAATGCACAGTTCAGTTGGGAAAGATAAAGCAACTCACCTAAAGTAGATCTAACAGTGTGCAAGTTGGTGTAACAAACTAAAACAAAGCGCAGCTACAACCAGAGTCGAGTATAAAAAAAAGGATTCATTAAACTTTATCAACCACAGAAGTCCAAAGTAAAACTTTCAAACAAACAAACGGAATACGACTTGTATCACTTACCAAAAAAACAGTTATTAAATACGTACATAGACATGATACTAACGTTAATGAACAATACAACATAAGTATCAATATCAATAGATAGAGGAATTAAAGAAAAGAACCAGTAGAATAGAAGAATCTATTTCCACAAAAACAACAACAAAATATTCCAAAATTAAACTGCTTCAAGATCAATAACAATATCGAACATAAATCACCAATAACTTGTTTCAGCTCAAGGTAGGGTATTTATATAGTGGTTAGACCACGAGGTTACATCTCATGTGAATAGCTAATTTACATAATCTTGCATAATATTATTACCTGAACGTCATCGCTAGGAGAAGCTTGTGTTACTTTGATAATACAAACATACTAAACTTCAGCGTGCAAAATAAAAAATACAGGAATGGTGAAAAACTCGCCAAAATAAAATAACTTTATTGATAAACAGTTTTTCACCATTACTACATTTTTTATTTTGTAAGTTCCTCGCCCACGCAATTCGTTTATTACTAGAACTGAAATTCAATTGAGCTAGAAAGTGAATTAGCGCTTTAATATAACTAAAAATTCATAGTAGAACTAAGCTATAGAAGGAATAATAAATGAACAGTAAACAATACCATAACAACATAAAAGTAGAATTCGCTATGTCACAAGTACACTATGCTTTCTATTTGTTTGGTATAATAAATATATTGTTCATTTATTCACATTTGTTCAATTTCATTATTTCATATTTAAAGAAACTCAGTCAGGTTACCAACAATAGAACACTTCTATTATTTCTTGATTGAATCTGCTGTTATGAGCGGAATTAACTATCTGATATTTGTTGGGAATCGGTTTTACCTGAAAATACCACATAAGGGTCAATATTTTTCGTACCCGACTGAATATCAAGTTTTTGTATGCTTATACTATATAAAAGCAAACTTGCCTGTATGGTCAAAGATTGAGATAGTCAATTATGCCAGCCAAATCAATCTTCATTACTTGATGTAGTGCCTAGAGAACTGGTAAGATGTATTTGGTCCTAAATTTTCATATCGCTGGTATTTTCTTGTACATTCCTTTGTGCCCACTCTGTTACTAATACACTATTCACCAAAATATTAGCATATTTGTACATATAGACAAAAAAGCCAGGTAACGAAAATAATATTTTGTGTTTGTGTGTATATGTGTTTGTGCAAATAAAGGCAATAGTGCTTAACTTAGTAAAAGCGCAACTGATTTTCAGTCTAACAGTTAATTTACTATCAAGGAAGCACACGTTATGGTATACTTATTTTTCATTGGGAAAATATAGAAAACGCATTTAATCAATTTTCAAAGTCACACAACCATAGGTTTTTTCGTGAACTATCTGTTAAATTGTAGAAAAATATGACTTTATGAAACACTTTTTAAATCTTATTATGTGTATTGAAGAAGTATTCTCTTATTTTCTATTTTTTGCCAAAGATGAAATTTAACCTAGCGTGAGATGTTGTAAATTCTCCATTCTGTGAGCGCGTGTCAAACTTCGTACTTGTAGATAAATTTTGAAGTTAAGTTGAACTACTTGAAAATTTTAGTTATAAGTTCGTGATTAGCTCAGTATGTGTTGATCATCTTTTAAATATTACGTCTTGTAGTTTATTCGTTGCGAATGCTAAACGCAAATATAATATTAGTTGGCTAGATATAGCGGCTTAACGAGTTAAGCCTAATTTTTTTAAACGTGTGTTAAGCACGTGGCATTCTATACGTTTAACTTCTGTTCGATTTCAACTTAAGACATTCAATATTTTTCGAAACGTGTCAGTTTCAAAAATTGTACGATGACTGACTTTAAACGCACCGAAGTGGAATTAAAACCACGAGGCAAAACAAAGGTAACTGCTGAAACTTTATATTGGAAAAATTTTGGATCTCCAATTGCTGTCAAAGACTATGGTGCAATAGACTATGTTGACTTTTCCCAAGAACAGCCTTACAACCTTGCAGTAACTTCTTCATCTAAAATACAAATATATAGCTCTGTGAACGCTCAAGTAAATCGCACTTTATCTAGGTTCCGACAAAGAGCATTTGGAGGTAAGTTTCGAAGAGATGGAAGACTCTTAATTGCAGGTGACGAGGAAGGAGATGTGCGTTTGTTTGACACTCAGACAAAATCATTGCTTAGGATTTTCAAAGGACATAAAGGACCAGTACACAGGTGTTTTTTTGGAAGTTCAGAAACCCAGGTAATAAGTTTTTCTGATGACATGTCAGTTTGTTTGTGGGATATTCCAAGTGAAACAAGGCTGCAATGCATTCAACAACATAAAGATTATGTACGAGCAGGAGGAATGAGTTTACTAAGTCAAGATGTTGTTGTTTCTGGCTCATATGATCACACTGTTAAAGTATTTGACTTACGGAACAACAACTGTGTTTTTTCTTTTGATCATGGTTTTCCAGTAGAGTCTCTTCTGTTGTTTCCATCAGGGACATCAGTTGTGTCAGCAGGTGGTACCAGTGTGAAAATTTGGGATCTTCTTAATGGAAAAATTTTGTGTGATCTGAGAGAGCATCACAAAACTGTAACATGCCTTAGTTTTGCAAGGGATCAGGGATGTATCTTATCAGGTTCACTTGATAAACATGTCAAAGTATTTGAAAGTGGAATATACAAAGTGGTTCACACACTGGACTATCCATCACCAGTTCTGAGCTTAGCTGTATCTCCAAATGACATGGTTATTGCAACTGGAATGGCAGATGGTCTTCTTTATATCCAGAACAAAAAAGAAAGTGTAGAAGAGCAAAATCGTAATTTGAAAATAAATAAGAAAAATAAGATGCATTATAAATACCGTGTGTATAATCAATATAAACCAGAAGAGTCTGACATCACTGTCATAAATGATGAACACAAAAAGCTACCAAGGTATGATCACTACCTACGTACCTTTCAAGTAAGCAAAGCTTTAGATTGTGTGCTCAGGAAATATGTACAAGAAAGGAAGCCTGAAATAACTATTGCAGTTATTCAAGAGCTTATACGTCGTGGATCACTCAGAGCTGCAGTAGCTGGAAGGGAAGGAAAATCTATGGTATCACTTTTCAGATTTGTTTCTAAGTATCTGCATGATTCACGGTTTCAGGCTATACTTATGGATGTTGCATTTATACTTATTGAGATCTATGCTCAAAAACTAGGGGAATCTGAACAGTTGCAACAACAGTTTAATAACTTAAAAAGTGCCATTGACCAAGAAATAAAAATTTTGCATATATTTATGAAAATTCGTGGAACCATCAGTGCTGTTAGAGCTGGAATTTATTTCAATAAAAACCCAGATATATGTTCTTCCACAGACACTTTAATACCAAACATAATTCCACGATAATGTATATTAGAAATTTGGAACTTGTAATTTGATTCATCTTTTAAAAGTCCAGGGAAAATAAAAACTGTAAGTAAGTGTAGAACTGATAAAAGTAGCTTTACACTTCACAGTGCCAAATTGGCAAATGTCTTTCTACCTGTTTTATTAAAAATGTTTCAGAATGATATTTTAAGAAGTCTACTTGTGTTGTATCTTCAGTTTATTAATGCAAGTTGATATTTTGTGTCTGAAAGTAAACACTTATGATCATAGATAAGAGATAAATGATTTTTTGGAGGTGACCCATATCCATATGTTTTAGAACAGTTTTGTCTTCAGCTGATTTCTTAAAATATTAGTTTGAAGTCATGATTTTCACAAATTGTACAAATAACTTTACAATTATAAAATACTGACATATATTGTAAAAATGTTTTACAAATTGATTAAAAAGGTTAAGGTACTTTCTTGACTAAATGATTTGCAGTTGACAGAATTTCTTTCTCATTCCAACAATCTCTTGCTAAGATAAAACACATTGCCAATACACTGCATTAAAGTTTAAACCAGGATTTCAGAGATTACCTTGCATGCTTACAGTGTTAAAAAAGTTTGACACCCTGATTGCAAAACCAAAAGCAGTTAACTAGTTAACAAATTGGTGATTACAAAATTAATTTAATTAAGCATTCTTTGTATTTTACTAAATTAATTTTAAGTAGCAGAGCTAAATAAATCTTTAGACTTGAAATAAAATGAGTCATGAACAGGAGTAAGCATGTTAGCTTTTCATATATAAATTTTTTAAGATGGCTATTTTGAAGAGAAGAAATCTCATTCTAAACATTATAGTAAACAATAAGATATAATGTGGAAGCATTATATATGTCTCATATCTCAATATACTAAGCCTGTTTGCATTTCATTTTATTCTGCAAAATTTTGTTTTAAAAAATACAGTTTTCACTAATTACCTTATAACTGTATGATCAGATCTTAAATTACAGGAAATTGAAGAGTGTGGATAAGTGAATATATACATGTTTAATCTATAAAACTAATGTAGAACTTTAATTGTATTTACATTCTAGTATGAATTTATCATAATTTTGAAAGTTCAGTAAAATATACTTACTTATGTACTCAGTTATGTAAAACCATATTTCCATATGAAGTGTAATACTGAAAAGTTTCCTCTTTTCCATATTCAGAGCTCAAGATAGTACCCTAATGATCATCTGCAATTTGAGTTCTTTTTCTGCTTCATATGTATTGATAAAGGCATAAAACATTATTCTCAAAAAGCACTGGCTCATAGAATGTGGCCAAGTGCATGATATTTGTTGCATCTGTACAATTTTATTGGTTCTGAACACTGATAACATAAACAAGGAAGCAGGGTATTAACTGCAGAAATTGTTGACTTGGGTTCTGAGAATTTTCCGTTGAACATAACATACAAACAGTAATGGGCCATATAGTTTTTGTGGCTATCCTTGTGCTCCCACCCTTGTGAAATGTAAAAATGTAATGGCTCTTTATTTTTCAGAAATTCATAAATTGCTCACATAAACCTTTGTGCTGGTCTCTACTACTACTACTCATAGCAATTCATTCCATAATTACACTGTTAGAAAAATAAAAATGTCTTATTTGGAGTTTAGCCTGTCGTTTCCAAGTATTAAAATTGTGTTCTTTCATAGTGTTATCTTCAGGAAATTGGTCACCTCTATCCTATTAGTCCCATGGATAATCTTGTAAACTCCAATAAAATCAGGGTCATGCTCTTTTTTCTCAAGAGAAAATAAGAAATTGTAATTTACCCCTATAAAATAACCCCAGAAGCATCCTTGTAGCCCTCATCTAAACTTTCCATAAATTAATATCCTTTCTTAGATAAGAAGACCAAAATTGTACACAATATTCCAAGTGAGGTCTAATTAATGATTTATATAGATTATTACCCCTTGACTTGTAATCAACATGTCTATAAATTCAGCCTAAAGTTCTATTAACTTCGCTATAAGTAACAGAGCCCTACTTCCATGGCATGAGTGACTAATCCACCAGTATTTCAAGATATTTTTCTTCAGTCGTGTGTTGAGTAGGATTCCATGGATTTAAAATGTCATCCAAGTTATGATAATCCACTGAGCCAAATGAATTAACTCGAATATTTTCAATTTAATAAGTTATAAAACTTATTTTAGACCTAACTAAAGTATGGTGATTTTGTAGAAAGTACTCATTGCTTTTTTAGTTTAGAGAGGGAAAAGTTGGTTTTACCAAAAATTTTAAAATGTCTTTCTGATATGGTACTTCCCTCCTCTCACAAGATTAGCTATTCTCGTTCATTGTTGCCCTCTATATGCGATCTTTTTAATATGCATGGCACAAGCCTTCCACACACCCCTATTAAAATCAAATGATTCCAACATTTGTGTCCTGCAAATCATCATGTGTCACTTCACCATCAAAAGGGGAATACTACACTCAAGTGACACATGTGACTCCCTCTATGCACCTCTACTTAACTATCACTTCTCGTTTAGCAGTGCTTGTACTCAGGCATTTTTTTGTTGTTGTCATTCTTTAATGTTTCATGTTCGTATTTAGTATATTTGCAAAGTGGTGTCCATTTATTATAACTTCCAGATTCTTTGGAGTTTGAAATTTGCCTTCATTTATCCCATCTTATTCCAGTCACATTCGGGAGGGGGGTCACGCCTACAATTAGTGCTATCTCACAGGCCGCAGGTGTGGGCGACCTGGCTTGTTTTTTGTTTTATTGGTGTTTATCCTCTTTCTTCCATCCATGTTAGGGTTTTTGCCATCTTCAGTTCATTCCTCCTCACATGGCTTCTTTACTTTTGGGTTAGTATTGGGTGTGACACTGCTGCTTGTTTTCCTTTCCATTATTAATAGGGTTTTACGGTCTTCCTTTTCTTTTGTCCCTTTTTGGGGGCGTTGCTCCTGTGGGTGGCACCTGTTTGCACTTCCTCTTTTCACATATTAGTTCTGCTCTTTTGGGCCCCCACACACAATATTCATATTCTTGCATATCATATTTTGGAAGCTCTAGCTTGGATAGTCCATTGGTTTTGTCTTCCATGGGATTCTCCCCACATATATCCCTTTACCACATTTCATAACCACCTATTACCTATATTTGGTATCTGTTACCTCCTCCTCTCGTTAGGGCTGTTGATGCCTTCAACCAAGATTGGTCCCACAGGTACCTGTATGTTCATTCCCCCATCCTCTTACTTCCATGGGTGATTTCCCTTATCCCTACCATTCTGTGTTAGGTCCTTCTTATTGCTCCTTAATGGCTAGCTCAACCAACTTTTACTTCCACTGCCTCTTCCTTTGTCTTCTGCCCTTCTTTGTCTACTTCATTCTCCAGTACTCCATCTGGACATCCACATCGTTCGTCTTCATGCTTGGCTCTTATTCAGTCCTTGGCAGGGAGATTGGATTTATACCTCCAAGTAGCTTTATTTTAACTTGTTCCATTTGCTCTTCTTCAGTGGGCATTTATTGGCATAAATAGAAAGTGTTCTGCAGTTAATCAATGAGTCAGATATTTTCCACAGATCGAACCCCTGTGTTTCGGGTGGCAGAGTTTCTTCCCTGGTTTTTCAACTGTGGGTCTTCAGTCCCCTCTGTCTTGAGTTATCAGGCAGCATTGTCCCATACTTTCGTTTTTTCCCAATACAGTGGAGTTTTACCTCACTTATCCTAACTATGTTCCTACATTCCTTTTGGATTAGTCATCTTCCCTGACTGCCTACCATTCCAACCTGGGATATAGATGTGATCTTTTATTCTCTCACTTTACTTTCATTTACATTACTTTCCTCATGTTCCGTGTTTTGCCTTCCCTTTAAACATAATTCCTTCTCCTCTATGCCTGTGTATGTCGGAGGTCAGATTTGTTTCCCTTGATATTTCTCGTCCATTTTCTCTACTCCCTCTCTTCTCCTTTATCCAGATCTTTCCTTCCTACCCAAGACATTGGTGACTAGAGGAGGTAACTCCTCCTTTTGCCTCCTTCCTTTCATTTCCCATCTTTATCCTCATCCCAATCTGGATTGACTCCTATGTACAGCCTGTGCTCTTCATTGTTCTATTGCCTGTATGTTTTTTTCCTTGGTGCCTGTTCCCGGCTTTTTATTCTCAGGCACTTTTCCTTAAGTCGAGATCTTTCTCCTTCCACCCTCACCAATTGTGTTTGGCTTTTGATCCCATTGGCTTATTCCCCTTTGTCATCTTTCTCCCGGACTTTGTTTATGGTGTCTTCTCATCAGATTCTACATCCTTACCTTTTCCCTGACATATCGTATTTGTTGGCCATTGAGGGAATTCCTGCATTGGTGCAAATCTAACTGGGTAAGTTTCTATTCATTATTTCTTTCCTTTCAGGGCCCTTGCTTCATTATTCACTATTTGGATCCTGCTTCATGGCGAGCAGTGCCTGACCAAGTATTTTTTAATTCTAAATCTGCACTGCATGCCATATTGACTAGCACTTTCTTTTCCATGGCTGTACATGCTTAACTTTGAGATGAGGTGTTTCACGAGATCGCTTGTAGGTGAATAACCTCAATATTTGCTTCATAAATTGGCATGTGCCAGACTGTACCACCCATGGACTTCGTGGGTAAAGCAGAAGGTGATAGCTGCCCAACCCTGCCATTCTTCAATTGATGGACTTGGTATGGTCTGCTTTTCGAAATAGGGTTTTGTGATCACCCATTGCACTGTCTCGAGTGTCGACGTACCTCTGGGCTGTCCAATGCATTCTCAGCCCACATTTTCTTCTAGTGGAGTATGGAAGTCCTTACTAGTTACAAGCCACTGGGTGGTTGACCATGGAGGCAGCTACTGGATAGGTTCCACATTAGATTGCTATAACCATTCAGTTCAGATTAAGGTGGTGGTGTTCTGTCAGTGTAGTTGATGTAATATCCTCCAATTTGTGATTAACCATACAATGGAGTGAGCTGTCAAAATGCAGTTCACCCCTTTGATTGGGAGCCCTCATCCTACCTTTGCATGGATGTCCGTTCCCCATAGGCTGGTTTTGTATTTTGAGTGAACCAATTAACATAAGTTCTCATACAGGTTTAGGATTGTCTGTCTTCCTACTTCGATTTTCTCCTCCTGTGTTGTGGGTCATAGCAGGGATACCTGGGATTATTCCAGTTCTATCCTTGGCTCCTCTCATTCTCTCTTAATATGTGGAAGTTATTGCCCTATGGATGGTCCCAATCTGTTTCACAGCCACAGGAGTTGATTACATGCAATAGACTTCCTTTTGATACTGGATCTATAGCTCAGAGCTAATCCTGTATAATACCTGGTTCTTCGGTTTGAGGTGAAGATGGTATGATCCTCATCCTACCCTCGCATGGATGTCAGTACTCTATGAGGATGTTTGGGATG